AACCCAAAAGGGCGATGATAAATCTGTTGGCGCCATCTTCCGTTTGACAGAAAAGTAGCCAGGGAGAGTTCGCGAAACCCTCATCATTCCAACTCCAATAGCAATTAACAGAGTTATTCCTTATGTATACCAAAATGGAACACCCTGTATATGAACTCACGCCCCATGGTACGAGCATAAATAACTATTGGTAGGTACCTATTTGATACTGATTGTACTGATTGAATGAGATGTCATAATGCATATCGGGCATTCACACATTGAACATCTCAAAAACTCGTCATAGGATTAAGTTGTGCCCATGATAGTTATTGATCAAAAAGGTCAGATCTATAACATACTAAAAAATGGTTAAATTTGACCGTGGTCAGAAATCCAATAAGAAGTGTGGTGTATAGGTACTTATAGGAAAAGTTCCATTTGATTTCAGTTTTTATGTGACAGAAAAAATTGACAATCTATGTGGTTCATTAGGATTTCATATTGTTTCTCAATCAAATCCCGGCCTGATTCCTGCAATAATAACTGTTATCGACGCGCACATTACAAAACTATATATAAATAACAGATGATGATAATTTTTAACATAAACAAATTGAAAAAAATCATTAAGAAGTTTGCTTATCAATGTTGCCTTGCTCCAGATATCAACTCTTTGTTAATTTTTAAAGCAAATTTGGAGTTATTTTTATGATAAACTATAGTGCAAATTCACAGATACCTACTTTATTATGCAATTAAATTGCTATAAGATTAATCAAAACCGCAATGTTATAAACAGTCATCTGTTGATTTCGCAATGTTTTCTACTCAAGCACGTTTGTTTCACGTGAATTTAATTTTATTTTTGGAATCGTACCTAATCAATAATAGTTTCAATTGAAAATTTCATAAAAATAAGGAAAATTATTTACAATATTTTAATCCTTATTATTTGTAGTTTTGTTTTAATTAGTTTGCACCACGCAAACAGTTTTAATTATTCCCGACAAATTATCTCATTAAATGGTAATTAGTTAATCGTCACGACATTTTCAATGTCGGCAAATATTAAAATTTGAAATTATTCTACATAGAAAAGTTGATAATCTGGTCAAGTTCATTGCAATGCTATATAAGTTTCAAAAATGGAGTATTTTGAAGCTTAAAAAACTACAGACTTTGATATTTTTTGAGTATCCAAGCTAACAATGGGTACTCTTCTTTACAATCTAAAGTGTTCGAGCCAATATTTATCAAGCAAACAATAATTAAAACCTGGAACACGCACAGCATCAGTGACAATGTTATAGAATAGTGTTTTTTTTTTCACACTGGAGTATGTATGTGGTTGATTTGATAGGCAACAAGTTGATTATTGTTGATTGAGTGGGTTATACTTCTGCTTTTTAATGATTTACAGATAATGAATGCTAGATTTTTTGGGACTTAATTAATTAATTCATGATTATTCTAGGAATGTAAACTTTGAGAAAACATTTTCGAAAGCTCTAATTTATTTTCACCTAATCTTTTAGTAATTGCAGTAATTATTACCATAAGTTGGTAATTAACTAAATAATGGCTTAAGAATTGCTTCTTAGATAACAAACTAGAATATTTCTAAACAACTTTGTCTATAGGATTTAAATGGAAGTTTGTTAAATTAAAATCTCAAATAAGAAAAGGTTCTTCAACTTATTCTGATCATCATCTTATTAAAATATGATGTTTTTACAAAGTTCAAGTAGGTAGAGTGTTGTTTAAATAAACTGGAGGTTTTGAAATATGAATCAAGTCACAAATTTATTTTTCAAATTACTCACTGTCCATCTATTTCAACTCCTCACGGAATAATTCCACGAGCCTTTGTCCGTCTTACATAATTACAAAAAGCAATCAAATGAAACGTGCTTGATAAACGAGTTCTATTAATATGGAAAATTGGATGTCGTCGTGAGAAATTGTTTTGTGTCGTAGTGACTCAAATACAATAATTCATTGAATTGTTATCAGAAATCTATAAACTACGCCTTATTACAGGTGGGACATTGAATTTTTGCCAAGGTCTATGACACTAATGTGATGCTTTGCCAATTTTTCAAAAGTTTCACTTAAATGACTCGTGTTAAATGGAATTTTAAAATATGGCAAAAAATTCCAACAATAAGTGTTAAAGTGCATTTTCTGAACTTTTTCTGCATTATTTTACTTCTTCTCAATCTCTCTATTATTGGTTCAAAATTGGTTTAAAACCCACAAAATTGTTCAGATTTATCCTAAAAGTGTTGTCTTTTTTGGATGTTCTATAATAAGACACTTTGTAATGATTTGAAAAGTCGATCGAAAGTTTGTTGAATTGAGATTTTTGATTGAGAAAACTCGTTGATAATGGTAGGTATATCTGTTCAACAACGAGTTTGTAATATTTCAAGAAATTAGAAATTGTATAGGTACCTACTCATCGTTAATTGTCTTTTTATATTAATGTTTCGAAGGGTTCAATTATAAAAACTTTTTCTTGTTGATCGAACATCCAACAAGTTTTGAGACGTTTCGATAGATTCAAAAATAACATTCAAGTATTTTTTAAATCATTCAAACTCGTTGGTTCAATGAGGTAAAATTTAACTTCAATGTATTGATAATGTCATACTCATTAGTCATTGCTTAAGTAAATGTATAATTTAGGTTTTACATTAATGTTAACCATATGTAAAAAGTTTTTCATTTTTGGCCCTGGAAAATTTTGACCATCCGACATTGCCTCACAAAATCGCTTGTGACTGAATTAATATTTCCCAAATTCCACTACATATTTATGTATTCTTAATCAGAATTAAATAAATTCTTTCAGATAAAATAAAATTGAATCATCTATCTCAAACAGTTTTCGAGATATTGAGCCTCAAAGTTAAAACTTGGTCTCAAATTTTGGAAAACCTTCAAAGCCGATTATTTCGAAAACGAAGCCCTAGGGCTTAGTGCCCCATATAACCTTTTTTGAAGCCCCAATCGAGATCTACAATTAGATGAAATTTCGTGCCGATAGCTCCACTGGTTTCCAAAATATGGCCCTTTGAAATATTTGAAAATGAAACTTCCTTGCATACATATCCGTTAGAAAAATTTCAATTTTGATTTTTCAGATTTTCCAATTTTTGGATTTACCAATCGAAAGAGGGAGTAAAATTTAGTGGAAACGCATTTTCCTGATTTTTCATTTCGAGGCTTTAAGGCCTGTAAAAAATTAAAAATGATTTTTGCTTTTTGGGCCCTGAAAAATTTTGTTCATCCGACTTTGCCTAACAAAATCGCCCATAACTCAATTGATATTCTACAAATTCTAATGCATATTTACAGATTCTTAATCAGAATTAAATGTTCTTTCAGATAAAATAAAATTGAATCATCTATCTCAAACAGTTTTCGAGATATTGAGCCTCAAAGTTGAAACTTTGTCTCAAATTTTGGAAAACCTTCAAAGCCGATTATTTCCAAAACGAAGCCCTAGGGCTTAGTGCCCCAAATAACCTTTTTTGAAGCCCCAATCGAGATCTACAATTAGACGAAATTTCGTACCGATAGCTTCACTGGTTTCTAAAATATGGCCCTTTGAAGTATTTGAAAATGAAATTTCCTTGCATACACCCCTTGGAAAAATTTCAATTTTGATTTTTCAAATTTTCCAATTTTTGACTTTACCAATCAAAAGAGGGGGTCAAATTTAGTGGAAAAGCGTTTTCATGATTTTTCATTTCGTGGTTTTAAGGCCTGTAAAAAATTAAAAATGATTTTTGCTTTTTGGGCCCTGAAAAATTTAGTTCATCCGATTTTGCCTAACAAAATCGCCCATAACTCAATTGATATTCTACAAATTCTAATGCATATTTACATATTCTTAATCAGAATTAAATATTCTTTCAGATAAAATGAAATTGAATCATCTATCTGAAACAGTTTTCGAGATATAGAGCCTCAAAGCTGAAACTTTGTCTCAAATTTTGGATAACCTTCAAAGCTGATTATTTCGAAAACGAAGCCCTAGGGCTTGGTGCCGCAAATAACCTTTTTTAAAGCCCCAATCGAGATCTACAACAAGATAAAATTTTGTACCGATCGCTTTTCTGGTTTCCAAAATATGACCATTTGAAATATATAAAAATGAAATTTCCTTACATAGCAAAAATTTCAATTTTGATTTTCCTAGATTTTTCAATTTTTGACTTCACCAATCGAAAGAGGGAGTCAAATTTAGTGGAAAAACATTTTCATAATTTTTATTTTTCAGGTTTTGGGGCCTCTAAATAATTAAAAATGTTTTTTGTTTTATATTTGCCCTGAAAAGTTCCACATTGCCTCACAAAATCGCCCCTAACTAAATTATTATTTCACAAATTCTATTGCATATTTATATATTCTTAATCAAAATTAAATTCTCCTCAAGATAAAATAAAATTGAATCCTGTATCTCAAATAGTTTACGAGATATTGAGCCTCAAAGTTGAAACTTTTTTTTTCAAATTTTATCTCCGTGACCTACAGCAATAACAATTACCACATTTAGACACAAAAAAAAAAACCGAATAAAACTGGATTTTTACCATCAGACTTGGTAATTAATATAACCTTGCTAATTTTCACTTGCAATTTATTATATTTAAAAACCTATTGGCTTTTAGTTTTGGGTCAGTTGCTGTTCAGTGCAGTAGCAGGTAACATATTTTAATTTTCTAAAGTTTTAAGTATCAATTACCCTAAAAGTAGTTTCCAATTAATAAATAAGAATTAATTGTGACCGTGTCTTTGAAATATTCATCAAAAACATCATTAAAATCCTCAATATAATGATTATTTTTGAACGCCTAATGACGCGCTGGGATTTGATTATCTGGGTTTTATCAAAATCAAATATTACTTTATTTAAATAAATAATGCAATAGGCTAGAGATATCTAGTAGTTGAGTACCATCGCATAAATCAGTACTGTTCCGACTTTCAATACATAAAGTTTGTTCCAGATTAAATAATGCCCAACTTAACCTTGGAACATTCGCCCAATGCGGCCTTAAACAAAACGGTACTGCAAAGGTACATGGACCTTCCAGTACCGGACGGCAAAGTCCAGGCGACCTACATCTGGATCGATGGTACCGGCGAACATGTCCGAGGCAAAACCAGGACATTGGATTTTGTACCCAGCAAACCATCAGGTAAACCTGTTTGTTGTAGGTATAAATTATTAAATTTAATTTGATGGTTTGTTGTTCCAGAACTGCCAATTTGGAACTACGATGGTAGCTCCACTTTCCAAGCGGAAGGTTCCAATTCCGACACCTACCTCTACCCAGTAGCAATTTACAAGGACCCTTTCACCGGGGGCAACAACAAACTGGTACTTTGCGACACTTACAAATACAACAAGAAACCCACTGACACTAATAAAAGGTACGATTTTTTTTGCATTAGAACCAATCTTAATTTAATTATTTAGACATTCCTGTGCGCAAGCTATGGAAGCTGCCAAAAATACAATTCCTTGGTTCGGAATTGAGCAAGAGTACACTCTTTTGGATATGGACCTCAGACCTTTGGGCTGGCCCAAAAACGGATTTCCAGGACCTCAGGGGCCTTACTATTGTGGAGTGGGTGCCAACAAAGTTTACGCCCGGGATATCGTGGAGGCTCACTACCGAGCTTGTTTGTATGCTGGAATTAATTTGGCTGGAACCAATGCTGAAGTTATGCCTGCTCAGGTAAGAATTATCATTGTTTGAATTATTATTGTTTCATCAGACTTCTTGATAGCTATTGTTATTTGGTAAATTTTTTTTAAAGTTTGATATAATATTGAATGGCGTTTATTGCTACAGAGGCCAAGGTTATTGCGTTATCAACACGTAATTTTCGAAACTTATCGAATGTGGGTTTAGATTATTACAGGAATAGTGAGAAAATTGATATTTTTATTTGTTGTTTCAATAAATTATTCTGATCGGAATTAACTGGTATAATTTTCAAGGTACTTACGTTTTATTATTGAATAATTATTGTGCCCTTTGATTTTGTGATGTTTTTCAATCCAATTCCTCATATAAAGACAATACATAAGAATACTTATAAATTATGGAAAATCCTTAATTATTGTTTTTCTGTTTCAACAAATTTTATAAACTCTTTGTTTGAATTATTGAAACTTGTTGAAATGATGAATCTTTTTACTAATTGAACTTCTATTTGAGTTTTCATCAACTCCGTAATTAAAAAAACAACTAATTTGTATCGCATTCCAACCAGTTTCAAGTTTTATAGATTTGTTTCAATGTTGTTTGAATCATTGAAAATCGTTCAATTAAGTAAGTCTTTTGGCCGATTCAACATGTTTTTGTTAGTTTTCAACAAGTTCCAAAACAATCCAACGATTTCGCTCAAGCATGAAAATCATTCCAATGTCGTTTGAATCATTGAAACTTGTTGGAACAAGTCTTTACACTGGTTGAACTTCACTGTTTGTTATTTCAACAAACTTTAGAACGTTTCAACTAATTTAATTGTTTCGAATTTCAACGAGATTTCAGATGTTTCAACAAGTAAAAACTCGTTTCAATGAAAATTTAAGTCAAAACAACGAGTTTTTCTCGTAGTTTTCGCACACAGAGAGCGTTTCGTTGTTTTTAAACCTCGTCAGTGCAGTTTAAGTCCAACTTCCGACGAAAATTTGGTACCTATACCTACTAATTTGCCATGATTTGAATCTCAAAATTAGTGATGTTTCTTTTTTGTTTGTGGTTCCAATCGATTTGTAAAGTTTCACAAATGCTCAATGAAACTAGGATTGCTTTTTTGCTCTTCCAACGAGTTCTAAGATATTCCAACAAGTTCTAAGACATTCCAACAAGTTCTTAGACGTTTCAACGTTTTCTAAGACTTTTCAACGAATTCTAAAGCAACTAACAAATCACCAGTCAACTATATAAACCAAGATTTCACTTAAAATAATTGAATTCCTTACCGAATCGATATTTTTAGCAAACTTTATTACTTACTTGTGTTTATGTTTGTTATCTACACCTACTAAACGCTAAAAATATAAAATGTGTATGCAATAAGTATGCAAGTCAGTATGAGCAAAGTATGAAGTAGGAGCAAAAAGAGGCATTATTGGCTCACAAAAGTAATTTGTTATTAAATTCCAAAGATTCTTATTCATAAATTTTTGAAATTTCTTTGGAAAACACAAGTGTTTTTACCAAAGCTTCAACACACTGTAAAAACACTTGTGTTTTCCAATGAAATTTCAAAAATCTTTGATTTGACACACTGTCTAGAATTTCTTTGATTTTGATAATTTATTTTCAAAAATCTTGATTATTCTTATTCATCTTTAGTAAAGTTTGTTCTCTCATCTCTCACAATTACAGTTGTTCTTTCAGTAACAATTATTAGGCGTACATCAAATAAACTTCTTACATCAAAATGTCTTTGGAAAATGTAGCGCCATTTTGTTCTCAATTCCTCCACTACACTGACAATCTATTCTCCTTGAAGCAGAATTCATTCATAACAAATAGCCAGGGACTAAATTGATATAAAATTGTCAATTCGTGCACTGGGGTAATTGAACAAATTGCGCTAAACGAGCCTCCTTGCGTGCCTTGTAAACACCAAAATTGCTTTAGTTGAACAATTTTTGTTAACAAATAAAATTGATGCGAGAACTTTATAAATATTTTTGGGGATTTACATAATAATTCAGTTACATAAGAACTGGTTCGTCTAAAAACAAGGCTTGATGATTGACATCTGAATAAGAGATATTAGGAACGGGTTTTTTAGAATTACCTATATAAAGATATTTCGGCCATGAACTTTTCTTATGTAGGTAGGTAATAAAATCGGCTTCAAATTTTGGATCTAGTAAATAACACTTATTGGATCTCTTCGTGTGGCTGGTTCAGTTCAAGGGCGAACTATTAACCTTATTAAATGAATATGAGTTGAATGATAAAAATGATTAACAAGATAACATAACGATAACATGAAAGTTGGGCTGAGGGCCCCTAAATTAGTGAAACTATGCTGACATTTAAGGGAATAGGGTGGGTTCTACTGTGAGGGTAGGAAGTCTCTGGGGAGACGGTATGTGTCTGGGGGTTGGAGCGAATGTGAGACTCACGGACAAGGGGGTTTTGATTGACGTCCACCTTTTGGTAGTAATTGGTCAAGAGGTTGGCGACAAACTGCTCGATTGTGTCGATCTGAAAATCGTCGTGGAACACTTGGGTACGAGTGTACCTTGGTGCGTCCACGATGATCTTCAGGACCTTGTTCTGAATTCTTTGAATTTTGTACCTATGAGACGCCGCACTGGTGACCCATAGGTAATGATTGATCTTATCATAGATAAATTATTTTATTGTTGATGGGGAGTAAGCTGTTTTTGTTCAGAACAGGATATAAGCAAGCAATTTGAGCCTTCGCCCTTGCCACAATTGCTACCGTATTGTCTGCCCAGCGCAGAGCCCTGTCAAAGATAAGGCCCAGGTACCTCACTTTACTGGACCAGTCTATTGGCGTACCGGCAACTCTCAGCCTTTGATTGAGGGTAGTGTTCCGACGAGTAAACATAATAGCTTTAGTCTTCGCGGGATTGAGCTTGATTTTCCAGTCCGCCATCCATCTCTCTATTTCAGACACGTGTCTATTTAATCTTATATGAATAATGCGTTCGCATTTACGCGTGGAAAGGATGGCGGAATCGTCTCGTGGATGACGATGGGTTCCGAGATCTGGTCGGTGTTTTTCGCGACGAAAATGTCCAGAATTTCGGGGAGGCCCCGCGGAGAGAAATGCGTGGCTTCGTGAGGCGAAAATACCGTAAAGTTGAAGACGTCCGCCAGGTTATTCAGGCGGACGCCGCAAGTGTTGGAAGTCCTGCATCCCCAATCTTTAGATTTCGCATTCAGATCGCCTCCTATAAGAATGCGATTATCAACATCAAACACTGCAGAAATAGACTGAGGTGTCAGGCGGTTTCGCGGGCTCTTGTATACTGAACCTAGTATCAAATCGTGCTGTCTCAACTCAATGGTTACAAAAGTCCCCTCAATAATGTTGGAGGGGTCAGGATTGGGTAGTTGGTATGCCTGAATTCGTTTTGATACTAGGACCAGTGTACCACCCCCCACTGTTTCCCTATCATTGCGGAAACCATTAAAGTTGGGGAACGTGAAGCGGTTTTGAGGTTTCAACCAGGTTTCCTGGACTAGCAGAACAGCAACTTTAAAGTTTTCCGCAAATCTAATAGTCAGTTTTGAATTGTACAAATATCATATGCCGTGTGCAACTTAGTGAAGCAATATCATGCGATACCTCAAAATTTTCAGGAAAATGTGTAGATCACAAATTTTAATGGGGCGTATCTCGCAATGGCGGCAGAAGGGTGAGAACCACCCTTATACTACCCTACTGTGTATATTATGCAAAAACATATTTCCTTAATTATAACTGGATTTCATAGTATTCTATTCATCACTTTTCTTTCATCAGATAACCTAGATGAGATCATTAAAAATATTATGAAACCATCCCCTAATCGGGGGATGATTTCATAACAGCTTCTTAGGCATCTGGTAAATTAACTGTTACAACAATACTCAAGCAACATGCAAATATCGTAATGTAATAATATGTAACTATGAAATCATGAACGTCTAGGCTTCTGTAAGCTGTGGTAGGTACAGATATTGCCCTTTGCTAAGCACACCCCCGAGTATCCGTATTATTTACCATTTTTATTGAGAAAAAAGTCTTATTTTTAAAGTAAAACTTCTTAGGCGGCGGCGGTCTGATATTTGGACGAGAATGGAGAATGATTTGAAAGACGCGTTACCTACGTTTAGGCCCATTTCGTTCGAGCTATATTCAAAACACAAGCCTTCGTTGCAAGACAGAGTGGAGAGATGTAATGTTGACAGCAGGAAAAGAGAGCTATAGTTTGTATATATCTGATACACAGTTTCGGCTATTCGCGTTTCCGTTTTGTACGGTCCCTCGTCTTTAACCCCCACTCGTCCGCTAAGGCCAAGGTCTCAGTTGCTCGAAGGGAGAATATTTCAGGAAGCATTTTACAAGCAAGAGAGAGGAGAGAGCCACGGATTCACTGAATACTAGGCAATGGAAAAGAAGAGAATAGAGAGTGTGACGCGCATACGCCCAGTACAACTCTGATGCCATGATTCGTGAAAGCTCCATCGCAGATTGCCTATGACACCCTTGCTGAAACTCTGGTGAAAATCAAGAAATGGGATCCCAAAACAGGAGCAAGATGTACCGATACTTACTTTAACAGCAGATCAGTTTACATCGTATAAATTAAAAGACATGAAAGTGAAATGGCACCCTGAATGTTACAAAAGAATTTGAAAAAAATATTCTCTGGAACGAATGGAGAAAAAGTATAATGCCCAGATTGCCCAGCAATAGGAAGCTTCAACTAACTCGCTGCCGATATCACAGGAAGTTTCAAAGGAAAAGCAGAAATTAGTTTTTGGAAGAAGTTTTTGGGAGCAACCCCATTCATGCTCCAGGCGTTGACATCTTTGGGCAAAAATGAAACGCTAAGTGACTCTGATATGGAGCAGATTAAGTTATTTATTTGTCATTATATTCACCGTCCAAGAAAAGTGTGAAAAACCTAGCAAAACTGAGATGGTGCTTGTTCTCGCAGAGTTAAGTTCCAACCGAAAATATGCCT